TGTCTAGTCTATGGGTGAAAAATAATCTATCTACAGCTGCTAAAGCTAAACGGAAAGAACTGACTCGATAGAGCATCGCCGCTCTATGCCTACGTATTCCCTTGTGCAATGGGAAAGTCGGAGTCAACGTAGTTCAGGAAACTACGGGGGAGATTGCTCGCCAAGACGTCGCGTCTTGTGCCTACGTATTCTCATCTGGCATGAGAAATCAGAGCAAAACGTAGTTTAGACTAACTACGGGTAAGCGAAGGGTGTTCTCGGTCACACAGGGGTGAGAGAAAAGGTTGACGATACTAGCGTGCGCATTCTAGCAGTAAGGTGTATGCTGCTCGACCATTGGAGACTTAGGCGTTACCTGTTTGCGGTAGAACGAACATAGTATGTTGGGGTTTAAAGGTACGGGAACTAGAGCTACAATCTGGTCTCAATTGCGTTAGGGCAAGAGAAAGCAAAAGATTAGTCGTCAGCGGGAAAGTCTCGATCGCACGACAGCGAGAGAACAGAGAAATTAGTTGTTAATGTGCTCGCTAGGACATCGCATCCTATACCTACATATTCTCGTCTGGAACGAGAAATCAGAGCAGTTGTAGTTTAGCTAACTACAGAAAAGGGGGAAAAGTGATCGCTAGGATTATCGCAATCCCATGCCTACGTACTCTCAACAGATATGAGAGATCAAAGCAGCCGTAGTTCGGCCAACTACGAAAAAACAGTCTCGATTTCACGGGGGCAAGAGAAAGGATCTTAATCGCCAGAACGCGAGAGGAAAGGGGGAAGTCTCAATCGCCAGGATGCGAGAGAAAAGGTTCGGAACGGGACGCACATGCGAAGTCCTAGATGTAGGAGCGAATGCGACGCATATTGTCCTAAGGACATATACTAAATACTCTATATGAGGGAGAGGAGACCACACACTCATCATTTCCCACGTATCTAACGGATACTCACAACACTCGACGGTTAAAAAGAAAGAGATGAAAGAAGTGAAGTAAAAACAATGTTACCGAACAGAGTGGTTCCGTTGACCCTTGACTTTTGCATGTAAATTCCATTTCTACGCTCTACTCTTTTATCCTTGATGATGACATTTCGAACCAGAACCAATGTGACGTTGAACCGTCATAATTCGACTTATAAAGGAAGTCAAACCCCAAAAGGTAGCGTATTGATATCCGTGTCAAAGACAAGATAGAAAATGATATTGAAAATCATTCTCTAATTAAATCATGTCACACGACCAACACAACAGAAAAGCAAAATAAAATCAGAAGAAGAAGAAAAGATAAGGAGAGAAAAAGCGGTCTCGGATCCTACATTATGCATCAACAATCTGATTAATAACGCATTACGGAGGTCTCGTCATCGACCTACAAAAATGAAATGGTGAGAAAAATCCAATAATAAAAATGGGAATAAGAATTCAAATTCAAAAGTGAAATAAAGTTTCTAAAAGAAAAAGGTTTTAAAAGAAATTTAAAAGAAATAGAAATTGAATATAAAATAAAACTATATATTAATATATGCATATAAAATTATAAAAGAAATATAAAATATCAACATATATATATATATATATATATATATATATATATATATATATATATATATATATATATATATATATATATATATATATATATATATATATATATATATATATATATATATATATATATATATATATATATATATATAAGAAAAATTAAAAATAAATATAATACAAAAATTATACACCAATGTAATTACAAAATAATTATGAATAATAAACAAAAGAGGGGGGTACAGCCCAGAATCATGGGTTCAGCCAGCAAAACGCAGCTGGGCTTAAAAGCTGTGAAGCCCAAATCAAAACAAAATCAAACAGACAGAGTGGGGTGCGCGAAAGACAAGGGGAGTGTGAATCCAAAACCAACGGTTGGGCTTGGCCCAACGTCACAGAAACCTGGAAAAAAAAACAAACAGGGGGTGCACGGGGAACTCGGGGGTACGGTAAGCAAAAAGCACAAATGGGCCGTGAGGCCCACTAACCGTTCAGAAAAAACCTCAAAAAACATCTTCTTCTTCATTCCAAACAAAGAAAACCTAGATCATTGTTCACCGTCGCCGCCGTCCTTCCACATCACGTTCGTCTCTCTCCATCTCTTCTATAACCGTCCAAATTCTTTGCCTGTTCAAACAACCAAAGAAAACAAAACAATAAAACCCCATCGATCAAAGTTTTGCAAGCGGATCTGGAAGTTTGGACGAACTTCATTGAAGTTATTGATGGCGAAAGTTGAGCTCAGATCCAGAGTTTGTGAAGCTTGCATGTTGGTTTGTTGGAGCGAAGAAGTAATGGTGAAGCTTGTTGTAATTGGAATTTGGAGAAATCTGGAAGTGGTTGAAGTCGCGATGAAGTTTGAGGAGATTGATTCATGGAGTTCGTGAAAATGCTTACGATGATAATTGTTTGTTCATGTCGAAAGGCTGATGTCGGTGAAGCTTCAGATCTGGGTTGCATGTTGTAGTTTGAAATTGACGGAGAGTTTGGATCTAGATTTCTGTTGTGGTTTTGATGATGCAGATCTGAGTAGATCGGAAGAAGATGAAGTTGGTGATAAACTCGGATGAAATCTAATGGAATTTGTGTTTGGATCTGTGAAGGTTGATCGTTCATCCATGGCGGATGAAGATCTGAGAAATTAATGGCGTGTGTTTGGAGATCTGGGAATGATGTAGAACACGGATGAATTTGTTTCATTTCTGGAAAAATGTTTGAAGGATCTGGACGAGTTTCTGGAAAAATATGAATGAAGGTGATGAAGTTCATACGAAATCTGGAAAATATGTTATGAATACATGAAGGTTCATGGAGATTTGATGAATATGAGTATGAGTTTCTGGAAAACGGATGAACATGATGAAGTTAAGTTCAGATCTGGAAAAATATGATGAAGGTTGTGAAGAACATGATGGTTCTGAAAAAAGTTATGGATGAACATATGAACATTCCGATGAAGTTCACGAGTTTTTCGGTTACAGATTCCGGCGAGGTTTGATCCATTTGATTTCTCCGGCATTGGTTCCGGCGGTTTGTCTCGAAACGCGTGCCAGCCAGCATTAATGAGCACTGTGCTATTTATATCCCCTGCTGATGACACGTGGCGCGGATTACTGACTAATGACAGATTAATTAATTAAAAAACACAATTAGTAAATAAAGCTGAATAATTAAGGCTACTAACAATTAATAATAAAAATATAATAAAAAAAGCTGATGATGGATTAAACTAAGTGACAAATAATTAAGTGACATTAATTAAAAGTTAAACAAAACTTTAAAATCCTAATCTAATTAAACTAGAAAATTATAACCAAAATCAATTAATATTAATTAAAATCTAAATCAATTAAAAAAACAATAAAACAAATAAAATTCTAGAAAAATAAAATAAAATCTATATTAAATCTATTAATATTCTAATAAATTCTAAAAAACCTCTTAAAAATAAAAATAAATCTATTTAAAATCTAAAAAATATGTCGAAAACAGGAAACAAATCTAGAAAATAAAATAAAATCAGTGAACAATAAAATGCGAGAATACGACAAAATAAATAGTAATAAAATTGGATATCGAGATACCACCGAAACCAACAGCGCAGATTGAATCACCGGGCAGAGCGCCAATTCCAAAATAAATCTTCGTATCCGAAACGGTCTGGATTGTCTGAAACACGCGGAAAAAGGGTTGTAATCCCGATTAAATCGATCCGGCTGCAAAAATGCACAGTATGCGGTATGCAAATGCAAATGCTAATAAAACGAAACATAAGTCAAAAATCAAGAAACGGTTGGTCAAATTTTGGGATGCAACAATATCTACAATAAAGATGCCCTTTGTGACCTTAAATTTAAAAATATTGATACAACGACAACCATACAAAAATATTACGACCAAATTTTAGGAGTGGCGGAAATATTTGATATACAAGATTTTTGAAATTTCTAATAACCCAAAACTATGCATCAGATATTTTGAATAATCATGTAAAAACTCACCAAATCTATAAAAATAATCCTCGTAAAAATACCTCTTTTTCATCTGAATTTTTAACACACTTGAATTTTTTTGGGTTTTATTGGTCTTTTGAGAATAAAGTTTTTGCACAAAATATAAATTTTGAGAGAGATAAATAATAAAAAGGATATTTTTGACATTATTGAGATATATGGGGTGCTAGGATCAGGTCAAGGCCAGGTAGATTTTCCTTCAAAGAGACACTAAAGTCATTCACTTAAGCAATTCTATATTGATTATAGTATTGGGAATGGTCCTAGATTAAAATGACATGCAAGATCTCTTAAATTTGTTGTTCTTGGTCCCATACTCAAAGTTGAGTGTTTTGTAATAATACATAATTGGACGCATCCACGTTAACCTTACAATTAAGCACATTGACTATGGACATAAGAATCCCTTGTTAACCAATCGTGTACAATTCTATCTGCGAACCAAGTTGGAACCATAACGTAATTTTATATGCGAAAACCGTAGTAAGATATATAAACTGTCTTCAATTGTCAACATTTCTATCCAACAACTTCGGTTTTTGGGTAAGCATTTCTATCCAGCAAGTAACTACAACAGGATATCGAATGTTCAGCCATTTCCATGGCCAATAAATTGCCACACATGCAAAGTTTATCTAAAACATAAACACGAAATGCCGACGTCTATCTACTTTTCTGTTCCTGATTGAAACAAAAAACTACCCGAAAGCATCTATATTTGTAATTAACAGAGTATAGCATTGATTTGCACGATGAACAATCGAGGAAAGAGTTGAAACAGTGAACGAGAAAAGAAATTTTTTCAACATTAAACAAATTCTTAGAATTTACATACAACTGTACATGGCAATGAGAATAATGTTGGTTGTTATTGAGTAGCATTGGGAATTTATGAACAAGCCAATGAGGGGGAGCAAAAGAGCATATATTTGTAAATCTGTGAAATGCTACTGGTAAATCAGATCCCCAAAGGTGTTCTCCCCACTGTAAGTAACATAAAGAAACCCATCTTCATCCTTCTTCTCATCATATATGGCTGACATTATTGCTCCTGCGAAAATTGACAAATCCCATCAACTGATTGGCTAAAACTGCTTTAAATTACACAAGAATGAAGAATCTTTGGGAAGAAAATGTAAAATTTTGTGAGGATTACCTGTAGGTGGAAGGACATTGTCCACAAAAATAAAGATTGCCTTTTCTGCACTTAGTTTAATTCTTTTACGGATAACATAGACAAACTGCCCAACTGTGAGATCAGCAGGGACAAGGTACCTACAATCAATTCAATCAGCTTGTTAGTTATGAAAGGGGACATGCGGCTCGTAAATGCCAGTCATACACCTTGAAATTTTTATACACCAGCTGGCAGAAATAATTTCCCAACTAATAATACTAGTCCACCATAAAATCAAATTCATATACAAACACAGATCCATGACTATCCAGCTATACAAACACCACACATTCATAAATCAAATTCTTATAAAAATAGACAACCAATTTAAATTCTGTTTATCTAACTCAAAAATTGAGGACCTAACGTGAACTGGAAAAGTATATACAATAGAAAATGCATGCTAAATTCTAAAAAAATAAACAACAGTGAATCGGTGCACTGTTTGAATGATCTTATCTTTAAAAAGTATGTCTGTGTGTTGATTTTGGATGAAAACAATTTTAATTTATGTGGAGCTTTGTGAGCTTGGCTTTAATGATACACACTTTAAATCCAAAGAGGATATTGTGAAAAGTTCATCTTAAACATATTCATTAGAGCAGGCTTCTAAATCTACAAAATTTCACCTGCAAAGTTGTAACAATTGAACTGTTAACCTAAATTCAGAGATATATCTCGAGAAAACCATGACTTTTCAGTTTTCACCTTTCACTTATTTTGGCCAATAACAAGTAAATGTTCATTATCTTATGTTAAAATAATATAATACAAATAGTATCAAATCAGCTGTAACTTTTTTCTTTCCTTTTGAAGAGACAAAGTAGAAACAATAAATGTGACATTTCCAGGTTATGTTAAAATTATTAACAAAATCTTACTTCTTCTTGTCAATACTTGGGATATCACTTCTTTCTGCCTTCTCCACAATCACCTTCAGGCAAATGAGATACAATTTAGCACAATAACAATGATTTAATCATCTATCAGAAATATAGATTTTCTTAAATCATTACTGCAGCCAGAAGCAAGTAGAAGCATAAATAAGCATGAACTGCCTATAATTAGTATTCAGTAGCATGTGTTTCTGCCAAAAAACTAAAAGTTATCCCATCTCATTTTTTAACCGCAATGTTTGGATATTATGCTGAAGTGAGGATAACCTTCAATCTCCTTATCACTCCGCTCCTTAACTCCCAACCCCCAGCTAGCCATCCTTATATTCCTTAAAGTTATCCCATCTCCAAAACTCAATATTACTGTCTCATTAGATTGCACAAGTAAACCCAAAACACGAAACCCCAAACATCAAATAGGTTATCAAACAATACACATTTCTCAACATCAACCTAGTTTCTTTTCACAGAATGTTGTTGATGAAGCATCAAAGATCGCACATGGCACAATCACATGATCAATACAAAAAATAAATAAAAACTTAATTTATACAAGCAGAGAAATAGTTATATAAATTGAAAAGCATCGACTCCTCCAGCAGAAAATATTACTAAAAAAGAACAACATTTCTTCTGCTACAAATACATGATTCTCACCGGAATTCTGTCTGGGTATTTCTCCCTAATCCTAGCCGCCTCAGCACTTCTCTTCTCTGAAGACAAAAACAAACCATTTATTTGCATATAACTCAACTTTCCACACACAGACACACAATCAAATAAATTAAATCACCAACAAAAAAAAGCAAAATATAGTAAAAAGCTTGTACCAAGATCATGCTCTTGTTTGAAGTAACTCTTTGCCATTCTTCCTGCAAAAATCATCAAACAAAGATCAATTAATCCGTAGCATCACTCATTCATTCAACAAATAATGAATAATTCATCAAAATCCCGAATAATCAAACAACAACTAAGAAATAATCATGAAAAACAAAAAGAAAATTGACCTACAAACACAAAATTCACTAAAAAAAGCCCTAAAATTTGATATAAAATTAAATAGAACCCTAAAGTTTCCGATCATGATTAAGCAAAGAAATTCAGGAAAAGAAAGAGAGAGAAAAAAAAACCTCAAATAGAAGTTTCCGATCACGATTAAGAAGTTTGAAAAAGATAAAACGTAAGAGTTGAAAAAATTAAGCAAATAATTTGGGTGCAATGAACCTCGTAAATAGTGAAGGCGATCGAAAAATAGGAGAAAATCAACGCTCTTATCTGTTATTGGACGGAACTCCAAGAAAGGAGTGTTTGCTTCACGAAAAGATAAACTTTGCTGTGCTGTTTGCTTTAATAGCTTTTTTTTGTTACAACTATTTTTTTTTTATATTAAATAAAAATTGACTTAATTAATTTATATACACTTATAAATTATTTTAACCTTTCAATCTAGGGGTGAGCAAGGGACGGGTCGAGATGGGTTATAATTAATCATAACTCTGTCTTAAATTTTGACCGGACTATTTTAATGATCATAATTCGTATCTAAATCCGTAAAAACTCCGATAATATATAAATTAATTTAGATCGGGTTAATGTAAGATGATATCGGATTGATCTGAAATATATGGAGAAAAAAATTTTAGTGACTTAAAAAATTTATTATAGTATTTTAAAAAATTTATTTAAATAAGAAATATGAATAAAATCATTAGCATAAATGAAAAACAATGAATACATCTAAAGTCAATTTTTTATAATAAAGAACATGATGTAATTCTATAATGTCATCACCTTTTTATTTTCCCTAAAACATAGTAAGAAGATTGTCATCACCTTTTTATTTTCCCTAAAACATAGTAAGAAGATGTAAAATAAAAAACATGATGTAAGAGAACAGATATATAATTAGTATTTACTTAGTGAATATATTAAATTATGAGTTGGAAAGTGGAAAAGTCTATTGAAAATTTGGAATAATCTAAATATACCACTAAATTAAATAAATAAAGAGTATCACATGTGCATTCATAATATTAGGACGGATTGAGTAATCCGAGGATCAACCCGAACCCGTCCCACTTATATTGGATTGGGACGAGTCTTCGTATTGGGTTGGATTTTGCACACTCCTATTTCAATCAACCATAGATCATGAAAGATAAGTATAAATAGTTGTGATATTTTTACATCGATGGTTAAGAGGTGAAATTATTTTAAATATTAATTTATTATATCAAAATATTTCCTATTTTAAGATGATTTAAACTTAATGATTATGGGTTTAATTGAATTAAAAAAATACTCAAATTATTAAATTAAATTTCTTTTGGATAATTTTTAAATTTAATTAGTGTATTTATGTGTTCTTTTAGATTTTAAATATAAACAAATGTTAATGGGGTTGTTTGGATTTGGAACACGTTTCGCCTTTAATAACATAATTTTATAGAAGCAAAATTTATAGCTTTGAGAATATGTACGTTTACAACATGATTTTATTAATTTCTTAATATATAGTTGTTCTGAATTGGACTGACGTTTAGCCCACAACCAAGCAAGTCCAAACCCCAATGAGGTTGGGCCCAAGAATACCACGCTGGCGGGCAGAAGCTCCACCGAGCACAACCTTCCCCCCGTCGGGCATAGGCCAACAGCTGCCGGGCAGGACCCTCACAGCCAACCAGTCAGCCTCTTTCTCCTCCGTGGTCGGGCAGGATCCAGCCTGCCCGGGTAGCTCATCGGGCCTATCCCCACGTTCTCTACGTGTCCCTCACGCAGGGACACGTCATAAAGTAACTACCCACGTCCTAGAGATTCGGTCTTCCTCCTCCCAAATAGCGTGAAACAATTACCCTAGGGCAAATACCACGTGCTGGTCTTCACGACGCCACGTCAGCCCTAGCAGTTAGTAACATTGGGCCTGACAGCCCAGCCCAGTGCTAGGTAACCGTTGGCCCTGCGCTGGGGGCTCACTATAAATACCCTCTTCACTAGAGGGTCAGATAACTTCATTTTCTTACTTTCTCTCTGTACTTGCTCTCACTCTACTCGTCACTTACTTTGGCATCGGAGTGTGTTTCAGGTACACCCCCTCCTCTTCCGTACCTTCGGTGAACAGCTAGCAGATCAACGACGCGTTGCAGGTCACTGATTCCTTTCTGGTCAGGTACGATCAATAGTAAATGCATTTTTTTAAAAATATATATAAATTATTTTGATTTAATTATGAATTGTTTGATGTTGTTATAATTATAGATACTTAACTTTAATTATAATTTTTTAAAGTTTACATATAAAATACTTTGTCATTAATTAAGAGTGTATACAATTCTACATGAACAATAAATAAAAAACTCTTTTGTTTTTATAAAATAAATAAAAAAAAAACTCTAGTTACATGTAAGAGTTGGAAAGATATTAGATAGTTAAAGACAATTTTAATATTGTTTACTATTAGATATTTAAAAACTGATTTTTTTTTAAGTTGGTAGGTATGTCTTAGAGATGACAATCGATTGAATTTGCATAAAGTATTATCGTATACGTTTTATATCTGCCGTTTAAAAAATTCTCGTACTCAAGCTTATATTTGCGTGGGCACCAACATTTGTACTCATATTCATATTCTATGGATATTTAAGTACTCATACTCGTTTACTCGTATTTCTAATTAAAAAAATCGATCAATTATAATTTATCATGTGAATTTAAAATTTTAAAAATATTAAAAAAAAATTAAGAATGTTATTGCTGAGTTAAAAAATAAACAAGCTTTTATATTAAAATGTGTACAAATTTAATAGTGATGTATTTAATAAAATTGGTAAATTAACTGGTGTACATAATAATAAAAATAAAAATATTTAAAAATATATTATGGGGGTATGGTGCAGAGTGGGTACTAAGGTACCCGTACCCACGCCCATACTAGTTTACTTTAACGGGTAATTGTCTATTCTCGTGTCGTATCCATTTTACGGGTTTTTTTACCTTATCTATTGTGGGTAAATTTTGTAGGTACCTACTGAGGATGGGTCTCATTGTCATCCCCAGTCTACCTCAATGTTACGAACTTATGGTTGGTGAAGACTTCACTCATGTTTAACTAACTAGACTCTTTTTATATATATTGGTCTCTCAATTTTGGGGTAGTCATTGTTGAAGTTTATTTTGTATTCTGATGGTGGAGAGAAGAAAAAAGTGTTAAAAAGTAAAATCATGTCCATGGATGGTTATCTAATACTCGTCAAATATGTTTTGAATTCTTCGTATATTTAATTTTTTTTCCTTCTTCTTGGATCCCACGAGTATTATTTATGCAATAAATCCTTATTCAAGTTTTTCTTTAAGGGATTGAGGATTTGCGTAAAATTTATTAGATTAATTGGGACAAAATATGCTCAAATAAGGAAGTATATGGATTGTGTGTGAAAGATAAGAGAGAGTAACTTAGCCTTGTTTGGCAAGTGGCGGTAAATGTTACATGTTGTCTGGGACAGTTTGATGTACAAGGTTGTAGCAATAAAATATGAAGTAAAAGGTGGTTGTATTCAGGGTGAAGATAATTGGGCGTCTATGCGATGGAAAGATTTGTCTAGAGTTAGGAAAATGGATATGTGATTCAAGGCCGATGGTTAAACGACAATATAGCTTATTCGATGGATAATTAGGAAGGAACACCATTTTAGAAGGATCATTGGTTGAAGGGAAGAAATATTTGTTTTTAAGTTTCGTCGATTTTATGAGTTGGTGACTGATAACAATATTTTATTATTGAGAAGAGTAGATTATGTTGAAATTCTCAGGGTAAAATTAGAGGTAACATATGTGATTGTTCTCATGGGAGGAGGAACATGTGACAAAGTTTTGATATTTGTTATGTGAGATGTTGGATAGAACTCTAGTATGTTTGAAGGGTAGCTTCTGGTACGACAAGAATTAAGCATGAGGTCAAAGTATGTTTGCATGTTGTTGTCGGAGTAATGCGTGTTGTAGTCGAAGTTTGTTCTAACATGTATTAGTCAATATCGATAGGTTGTTAGCATATTGGATTGAGCCTTGCTTGTAAGCCCAAGTGTTTAAGTTAGCTTGTACCCTAAGTTAACCTGTAATGGGTAGTTGTTAAAAAGCCCATTAGGTTAGTGTGCTATTTTTCTTATAAATAGGATGTTAGTTTCTCAATCTTGGCATAAGGAAAAATAGGAAGAAAAATCTTAATTTCAAGAGAGAGGGGTTATTTTGTTATTCTTGTATACTTGTAATCTTGTTCTAAGAGTAAGGAAATAATAGCAGTTTATAACCAATCCTTGTTGTTCCTTGTTGTTATACCTTGTTATCTTTGTTAACCCTAACCCTTGTGTGTTTCTTGATCATAAAGAAACCGTTTATATTTTGTTTCAAGATATTCGATTCACAATAGATTGGTGCAGTGGGCATGGAGAAGATGCCTTCAACAAAGTATGAGATTGAAAAGTTCACCGAAGTGAACAACTTCGGTATGTGGCGCTTGAAGATGAAAGCTCTACTGGTTCAACAGGATTGTTTGGAAGCGTTGAACGGTGAGGCAGCCATGGACGTTGTGTTAACGGCAAAAGAAAAGACAGACACGATCGAGAAAGCCCACGGTGCAATATTGTTGAGCCTTGGTGATAAGGTTCTTCGACAGGTATCAAAGGAGACTACAACATCGAGATTATGGGTGAAACTTGAAAGTTTGTACATGACCAAATCTCTGGTGAATCGACTCTACCTAAAGCAAGTTTTATATTCATTCAAGATGAGTGAAGACAAAGTGTTGGCTGAGCAGTTGGATATATTCAACAAGCTGATTCTTGATCTTGAAAATATTGATGTGAAGATCGATG